CCCCAAAACCCCAAAACCCCAAAACCCCGTTATTCAATATTTGAAATCAAAGAAGTAATTCAATTTAATAATCAATAAGCTCTTAAAAATATACTACTATATTATGATTAATTACAAGAATCCTCAATCAATATTTGGTTATTAATGTGATTTCTGACATGAGACCATATCATTCATTTGAATCTGACAAATTCCTATATTGCCTGGGTTTTCCTTAAGGCAATTAAGTAAATTGCTAACATTTGAAAAGCAAGGGTCAACCTATGCTTGTTATTCTAGCTATTTCTGATTTAGCTATTCTGGAGTCATTTGCATGTCTAATTGTTTCATCGTACTACCATCATACATGGGTGCCTCATACTCACCCATTCTATTAGAATTTCCATCATCAGTTGCTGGCTAGCTTCCACTGCCCATTCCCATTCCAGAACCATGACCCATTCCTCCACCAAACATAGAATTCATAGCTGAGTGACCGATCGCAGAGCCTGCTCCTAGGGCCAATCCCATTCCTAAGGCCGATCCTAAACCTGGCCCTCTCTGTTACCCTTGAGTTGAATTTTGGAAAGGAGATCTTGATGGTGCAGGCGGGGCAACTGTAGATCTTGTAGGTGATCTGAAAGCACCACTGCTATTATGTCTAGGTGAAGACCTTCCAAACATTCCACCTCCTCCTCCAAATGAGCTTCTTCCAGAAAATCCTCCACCTGATGATCTTCCACTACTTCCACCTCTTCTTGGCATTGTAAAATATATAGTTTTGGTAAATTTAATTATTATTAATGCGAAGAAATTAGAGCTTATATATTTAATTTCACCTCCCAAGAAAATTCTAGAATACTTTTGACTGATAGTCTAAATGAAATTTGATTGATATTTATGTTGATTATTAAATTAAGGTAAAAATAAGTCACTTCAAACAAAGTTGAGTTCGATTTCCTTAACTGGACTCATTTTCTCTTAATCACTGTGAATCCGTCATCATCTAAAACATTCTGTTCTCTAGTTTGCTTCTTTTTCTCAGCTGCTTGTTCCTAGATTGGTGTGTCAGAATTAGTGCCGATTTCTTTCTTGTGAAGAATGAGTTCGACATTAGTGAATTAATTTGGAGTGTTCTTGATGAATGTCAAAGCATCCTTAGCTCTCATTTTCCTGTAGAAGTGTATGTAGTAGGACCCTTATAACTTTCCCTTCTGAGTATACATCTCATTCTTAAAGTTGACTAAGAATTTCTTCAAATCATCTATCGAGGTACCTTTCTGAACATTGAATATATAAAGAGTAGCTTCAAAGATTTAGTTTCTATTATCATCATTATTCGCAGACATGATGCCTCTTTGGATCAAATTCAATACTTCTGAGACTAAAAGTTCTGGAACTTTGCTACCATCCTTCCAAAATACATCAGTCACGGTTTTCATATTTTTACCTCCGTAAGTACACATATCAAGTTTGAAATGCTCAAAGACCATGCAAGAGAGGAAACTCTTTTTTTCACTTCCTAGGCCACTGAAGCTTCTTGTAGTTTTCTCTAGAACAATGTCTGTCAGCTATGATTCACATTTTTTCACAAATTTGGGATACTTAGCAGCAATTTCTAATATTTCCTCTGGATAATATTCAAGATTTACATTATCCTTATTAGCTTCATAGTCCTTAGATGAGCCGAAGGCTATTGCAAGCTTCTTTTCCCTTTGGTGCTTCCAACATTCGGAATTGCATTCTATTGGATCTCTCTCTGGAACTGATTTGCATATTGTGTTTACATATCTATATCCACACTTACAATAAACACGAATTTCTGCTTCACATGGATTTTCAGGGCATTCAGAAATAGGGTGACAGTTTTCTAAGCATCTATGTTTACAAAGTTTTCTTGGCTTTCCACATCTTTCTCCACAGCCATTGTTCATTAGATCTAATTCTGACGAAAAGCAATTTCCAGGTAAATGACATACCTTTTGGCAGGTATGAGCACAAGGCAACATTTTATTACACTGCTTACCGCAAGAATGCTTTTGCTGATTGCAATAAACATTAGGCATTATTTCTGATCCACAATTGCATACTTTGGTTACTATTTCTAAGCAGGGAGGACAATTTCCTAGATGGCACTTTAAGTTACATTGATGACCACAGGTCAATAGCTTTTTACAAGGGCCATTACAAGTGGGAGGAGATGTTTCACATTTTATTGGGGGATCAATTTTAGTAAGTCCACATGGACAATATAATGGTTATGTTGAGACAAATCGACATGGCTTGCAAAGACCAAGATGACAAAAAGTATTACATTGATGCTTGCCACATTAAAGTGTTTTTGAGCAAGTTTTTAAGCAGAGATGTCTACCAAATGGATCATAGACACCTTTTTTAACTGGACAACACTATTCTTTGCATTTATGTTTTTTACAAGATTTTAATTAGTTGCAGATCTTCTTGCACTTGTAGTTTTCTATTTCCTCAATTTCTTCTGTTGTCATTTTAAGTAATTTGAGATACTCAGGATAATTTACTTTATAGCATGGTACTTTTCTTTTATCTTTACCACATTAGCATATTTGCTCAACCAATTCCTCACATCTCATGCATTCATCATTGTGACATTACAAGCTGCACTAATGTTTTCCACAGGGCAAGTATTTGTCACACTTTTACGAGCATGTTGGAATAGGATCGAGACATGTTGTTCTTTACTTTCCCTGTAATAACAAGGTAATATCTTTTCTATTACAAGGGCAGAATTTAACTTTACTTGGAACTTTTTGGCAAGGTTAGCATGCTCCATCATGACAGACTCTTTGGCATTCGTGATTTCCACAGTCTAGGGTTTTTCCACATATTTTCTGGCATAAAAATCTTTTACTACCGCACTTTACAGTTCTTTCCTCTTTTCCACAGAAACATTTCTATTGAATATCAATATTACATTTTTAGCATTATCCCACATGACATTTTTCTTCACAGTTATGTAATTTGCAATTGAGAAGCCTTCCGCATGAATCTTCACAAGAATATTGACTTCTTTAAGATAGATAGCAAGCAACTCTTTTCTGCTATTTGGCACAATAACAACTTATTGGAACATTAATAGCACAAGGAGGACAGCTTCCTGGATGGCAAAGTACATTGCATCTTCCATGAGTACAAATCTCATTTCGTTTCCTATCACAATATTCACCACAAGAATGAGGTAAAATTAATGGAGAAAACGGAGGTTCATCGTACCTTCTGCAAAAGCAGAGATATCTAGGCATTGAATTTTCAGCATAAGCAAAGTTGCAGTTAGGACAAGTCCAACTAAAGAAAGCTGTTAATTTCTTAGCAGCTTTTTGTGCTTCAGTCTCATAATTTTTCTCCTCTTCAGAGTCATAATATTGATGTTCATCTGGCCTGTTTCTATGTTATTGAGTAGGACCTTTTTTTTCTTCTTCATCATCATGATTATTTAATTTCTTGATCCATCTTTTAATACAACCAAGATGGAATGGCTAGCAGCATTGTTTGCAATTCCATAAGGCACTCTTTTGGAATATGGGATTTTGGCAAATAATACATTCTTAAGTTCCTTTAGAAAGACTTTCGACAAAATAAACACATTATTCTGTCAAATTTTCAAATTGCTTCAAGTACCCCTCATAATTATACTTGATTAAAGCTTTATCCTAACTATCCTTCTCAAGCTTATCTTTATCATTGATGATTTTAATCTTTTCATCCTTATCAGGAAGATACTAGTTTCTAGTATCATCAACATCTGCTGAAGCCAAATATTGTGAGGCTGAGCCAAGGTTTTTATGATGAGTCACTTTTTACCTACTATTGGAATCCATCTTTTTGCTCCATATTTTTTCTGAATCACCACTAATTGAGTTTCCATCATTGAAATTTGATTGGCTCGAAGATTCGAATTGATCTCTTTCAGCTTTTCTAGCTTCAAAGTAGTCACTGTCCCTTACTTTTTATGAGTGTTGGCCACCTCTTCCACTACCTCTACCCCTTCCTCTTTATTCATAATAGTTGGAATTTTAATCATATTGTTGCTCATTTTGCTAATCATGATTTTAATAATTGCCTCTACCTCCTCTGCCACCTCGACTGCCTCTGCTTTTAGAACTTAATTCAGTATCGTTTTAAGTTTTCTCTTGGTGAAATTGTGAGTCTGATGGATAATCCTAGTAATATTATCTACCTCTTCCACCTCTTCCTGATCCCCTAGTATTACTACCTCTACCTCTGTAGCCTCCTCTTCCTCTACTATCACTATTGGGATAAAAGCTACCACTTTCATCATGTAAGGATTAGTCTTTCTTAGAATAATCCTCTAATTTTTAGTGAGCCTCAGATTATTAACTCACCTTAGCTTTTTGAGATTAAGTCTAAGGTCTATCCTGTTGATCTTATGAATAATCTTAAGCATGACTAGCTGGTTCCTCAGATTTCTAACCTTTTGGAACCCATTTCATTTAGGATTTTTGCTGATTAGGCTCAGAATTGGATCCTTCTTAAGAAGGGCCACCACCTCTGCCATACTTCTTTTTGTTATTCATTATGTATTATAATTTATCCTATTAATTGCGTATTTATATGATTTTAACCCAATGGGGTTTTGGGGTTTTGGGGTTTTGGGG